AAAGAGGATGTGGGGGGGGGGGGCAAACCAAAACAATAAAGTGAAACTAAACAAAATAAACCATGTTATTCTATCCAAGAGAAAACGAAATATTTCTTTTCTCTGAGAAATTAGTGAGGTTATTTTAAGAATATCCAAGGGGATTAAAACGAACAAATTCCTGTAATAGCAAGCAGACACACTCAGAAATAAACAAATAGAAAAAAGCGCCTAAACTAAAAATGAGAGCAATTCCCCCATGACATGAATTTTGTTTACAAATGAACTTAAATAGCTCCCTCATAATTGTGGGTAACTGTTATGATTTACAGCAGGTGCTCTAATCAATCAACCAATCACTTTAATTTATAGGGAGCCTCGCTGCATTTTCCCAGTTGTTTCATTTCTGCACGTAATTGATAACAAACCGTACTTAAGGTATGTTTTATGCAGGAGTTAATAAGTGCTGACAGCTGCTACTGCTGCTTCCTCTCGGAATCGCGGCAACACGCGTTTCTCTATAGAAAATACACTCCGAAATTAGGGGGTTTGGTGGTGGTAGAGTCCTGGCAGTCCAGCGGGCATGTTTCAGAGAAGACTAATTGATTACACACCCTCGTCGAGCAGATACCACTTCACAGTCCCCCGCATTTCCACTCAATCAATTGCAAAACCAATTCGGCAAATAATAGGGTTCTACTATGCACATATGCCAGCTATTTAGGTAGTTATAATAACATGTCAGTTAAGTCATAAAACCCCTGTTTATTTGGAACGTATCTGGAGAATCAAACCATTAGGGTTGAGGGGATATTGAAATCGTCTGGAGCTGCTAAACAATAAGATCGGGTATCCTAATATATTACCGCGCGATAACTACTGGGCAATTGCCAATTTTATAACCTCAGTGTATGGAATAGACACAACCGTGTTTCACTGTTTTTATTACAGATCATTTCCTACTGCCAGACCAGACCCCCACAATAAAAGCTCTATAACAGCTAAAAACCAAAAGGCATGTCGATTTTAGACATACATATTGCTTCATATGCCTTGTATATGGTCTCTAGTATAAACAAATTATTTTGAGTGGCTTTACTTCAGGGAATCGGAAAGTCAAATGGATTCCTATTTCTCTATTATTTTTACTTAGGCACTTTATGCACATCATAAAAGCAGTTTCAACTAGTTTGAGAACAGCACAGAAAGAGTTATAAAAGAGTTAGAGGCCCTCTCCTGCTTTCGTTGCTATTAATTTTTTTTTTTCCATTGATTCTATACGAAAAGACTCATTTGGAGTATCAGAGGTAGTGCTGGCAGATAAAATAAATATATATATATCTTCCCCCCATTGTACATAGGTATATCACTTATTTCATGCAGTGTTCTGCAATGTTGCTTGAGTGAAACATCAAAAAAAGTTGTGGTTGTTTCTTTTAAATTTTTTTTTAGATAAAAATAAAATTTAGATTAAAGCAGTGCCACCAGACAGATTTTCATGACTGGCACTTTTTTCTTCGGACAAACACACAGGTTCAGTGGTTCGAGTACACCTTTACAGTGGCTATATTTAGTGACCAGTTTATCAGGTCACTGTCCAGTGAACTGAGAAATTAAACAAGAGGCAGCAATTCCACGACCATCTGATCTTAGTCCAAACTCACTAAAGAGAGAGGGACCCGTGCAATGTTTAAATGTACCTCACCTTGCTCTCTTTGGCCTTTTGGAGCACTCATTACATTAGTTAACCTTTGAAATATGGATTTTTCACGTGCTCAGTAGGTTTTTTCCTTGCAAATTGCTTTTGGGAAGCAGGCTGCTCCCTTCCCTGCTATGCTGGGAGCTCCTCAGTTTTTCCTCCTACCACTGCCTCCCCAGAAAGGACCATATGAATATACCCATCAGTTGGAGTATAACAACTCTAAACCCATTTTAGAAGCTTACCAGGCGGTGTAAGCATATCTATTGCAATTTCATAGCTTCAGAGAGATGTATTCTATCTAGACTCTATATCTTCTGTAAATTACCTAATGCTGCCTCAAAAAAGTGTTTGCCATGGAAAGAATTATCTCTATCTATATCACATCTATATGTTTATCATGGCTATTGCTTTTCCGATATACCCCAGACATTACCAGAGATAATATAACATGGAGGTTTTAGTGGGTGAAGAGATATACACGTCCTTGTGTGCAGCTGCATGTGCCAAATCCCTGAGTGTATGTAAATAAACTGTAATGTAAAGTATATTTTTAGTCGATGTCAACTTTTACAGTTGCTTGGGGATTGCCATAACTGCTGAATTAATACAGAGTAGCATGCATGTGTGTACACAGCGTCCCCACAACTTCTGCTTTGACTTTATCCTATTTAGTTCTGGTTATCCTCAGCATAAACTATTCTATTTTCCTTCACTGCCAAACTCTGTTCACTGTGTGTATGTGAGCACTTACAAATATTTTCACCTTCCAAAGTCTCTGCCTTATTTATATCTTTATTTCCCTCCTCCTCTGTTCTTTCTCTGTTTTCCCTCTCCTTTCTCCTTTCTCTCTTTCTCCTCATGTGGTTACTCGCAGCCTCTTTGTCATTTCTCCCCCTTCCATTTCTCTTCCGCTTATCAATAAACCGGGAGAGCAACAGTAGCCGCTTGATTTGTTAGTAATTATAAGCATACTGTTCCTGCAAACGGGATCTCTAGATGAGTGAGATCGCTTTAAAACGACAGCAGGAAATGGTGGGGAAATGGAGCATGGCGAAACTCAGCGTGAAGCTTTCAGTTCTTTACATGTTTACAATTTTCTGTGCATACATTAAGTCTTAAGGTTCTTTTTTTTTCTTTTTTTTTTTTTTTTGGTGGTGGTTCTCTGTTGGGTTGCCCTCCAAAAACGCGTGAAAATGCGCGCAAATGCAGACGAGCAAGCGCAAGTGAAACTAAAAGGGCATTTCGGCAACATTAATAACAAACAAATAAACAGAACTGTGTCCGGAAAATAGGCTGTCAATTATAGATACCGTTGCAATAGCCCTGGTGAGTAGTGTAGTAGTTGATCAGTCAAACAAACAATCAGAAGAAATATTTCTTATATGTCCTACTAACAAAAGTTATGGGCAAATTTATTACTAATCAGACATCAAACTGCCTTCCATTTTTTTTTTTTAATCTGCCTACTGGACCTGAAACGAGTAAAAAGTTCTTTGTCCATTATAACAACAGGACTTTATTGTAACTGGTGATTTGGTCTGACTTGGTAGTCAAACCTAGAAAGCCCAAGGACAATGTCTTACCCATTGCCACTAAAAGACCCGGTTCCTATTTTAATGTTAATGAACAAATACAGAAAGTGTGTATTCGTGACCCTGTCGTCTCCTCCTCTTCCCCTCCTTCCTCTCCTCCAGCGCAGTCCCTTTCCCCTGAAAATCGGGACTAAATTTCAAAGTGAAATGTATTCCCTCGAAATTGTTTTGCATTTGATTAAAGGGGATCATAAGGTTCAATGGGTAATCCAGGAAAAAGCACGAAACTGAGTGGCAGCGAAGCAACATCTCCCATTCCCAGACCTATCACCTGAAAAAGCTGAGGCCAGAGCGGTTTTCAGTTAATCTTTTACCCTGGCTAATTCAAGAAGAGGTGGGGAGGAATGTCATGCTGTGTTAGTAAGAGTTTGGGTTTTTTCTTTTTTTAAAAAAAATAGGTTAAGGCACCTCCTTTCATATGTTTCTTTAAAATAGTATGAACAATAGATTTTGTTTACAAGGAGACAATGACTTAAGGTGTTAGGGTGAAAATGGCCTTTCGTACTAAACCAGATGGGAGTGTGCAGACGATGGTTAGAAACAGGTGAAAGTAAATAAATACATCAAGATAATTCTGAAGTCACTGACTATGCCCTGGAGTCACAAAAAATTAACTTGTGACTCGGGCTGCGCAAGATTTTGCAGGAGGACAACTTCTTTCCCCATAGACGATGCCTAGCAAATTTCAGATGAGCAGTTGACAAGGGGACCCGGTCTTTTCTTCCTGACAGACAGAAAATCTTCCCTTCATTTCAGCAGAAAACCGAGGGAAAGGCCTCAAAACGTGCAGCCGGTAAGCTCTTAAAGCCGAGTTAAATCTGATATTAATGCTCTTGGTGATTATTATCATCTTGATGATTTATCTGGCTCCCTCCCTCCCACTTCCACCACCCAAATCTTAATGGAACTAAGAGTTAACGATGATTTTTTAATGTCTTGTTGGATTTTTAGACTGTTAATGTACCGCATCCTTCTCATTATTAGTTTATTGATTGGTCATTGACCA